CACATACAGAGAACTACTCATGGGGTCCCTCTGGGTGTCTGAATCATCTGCAGGAGCAGTCAGCTTCTACTCCTGGTACTGTGGTGGAAAAGAGGAATGTTCCAGCCAGCCCTGGGGGCTGCACATTAGCACCTGAGTGAGGAAGTCGCTGGATCAAACCAGCTCCATGCAGAGCCAGTGAGAAGGATAACTGCACAGATTAGCTACTTTCTACTGATTCAGTAAACCAGTTTGAGCTGATGAAGACTTGACTAGGAATTTTGAGGTGGCTAGTTCAAGTAGGGCACTTCCACTTTTATTCCCATGTCATCCAACTCTGCTAAGAACAAATGAAACTTTTAGAGATTCTGACATGGATATATCTGCTTACATGATGAAATATACAATTAGTAGATAAGGTAATTGAAGAGATATGCAATTGAAAAGAAACGTGGTTGAAAATAGTAGCTGAGGTAGCTTCATCTCTTTCAGCCTAGCATACCAAGGGTTCAGTCCATGTACATGTTTCTTTTCTATTAACAACCAAAAAATTTTGAAGTAATTTTAAAACGTATTTCTCAGCCCCTAAAATGCTTATTTTACAAAAAAGTCAAATATTTCTTGCAGAAGGTTTAAATATTATGTCTTCAAGTACTTTTTTATATATCTACTGGTTTTGACTTGGGATTGAGTGTATTTTCTTGACAGTAGCTGCTGTGGTGTGGATTCGCTGGAAACAGTGTTGGTAACAAGAATGTTTTGGCTCTCCCTGAGAGCTGTGTGCCAAGGCCTACCTGCCCTGGTTCTACAGTTTTCTGTCTCCTCTTCATGCACAGACCTTCCTGCTGCCGCTTCTGTGCCATGTAGCAGAGCTCAGCAGTCGCATGCTTCATCAATTGCCAGTGCTCACTGAGGTCAGGGGCAACCCAAAGCACTGTAAACACACCAAGGAGCCTGAGAGGAACTGTAAATTATTCTCTGTTTGCACCAGTTCCATTTGTGCAAGCTGCTGCTAGACCTACTTCCCCTTGAAAAGGCTGGCATCAGCAGTATTACCATGTGGCTAAAGAGGGCTACTTTTAAAGCAGATTGATGGGATTTGTGGTGAAAATGCAGCCCACCATGGCACAGACAGCAGAAATCTCCACTCTAGCTTTAACCTGAATGGGGAGCCCTGAGCTGGAGTGCCATGTTTCTCAAGTGGTTTTTTTTTTTAATAAGGGATGACTTTTCAGCCTGAGCACAGAAGCAGAGAGTCTGAGTTTTCTGGACCTGAGCACACAGGGACAGTACTTCTGGCTCCAGAGCTAGCACAAGTGGGGCCACCTCAGTACCCAGTGTACAGTACAGGTGTAACTGTTTAGACTTAACTTCTGTGTTCACAGCGTTGGGCTATTGAGCTGCTGTCCTCTGGGTGAGAGGGGACAGCAACTGTCTCTGGTAATTGGCAGACAGAGGTCTGCATCTCTTTCAAACAGAAGGTGTACCTAATGTTTTCAGAAATATTTCTACTCACTTTAAAAACCAGTCTTGTATGGTTACTCAGATTAAAAACTAACATTTTGATTCCTGGATGTGGAGTAAGTAAGGATTGTGAGACCTTTCTGTCAGAGCAGGAGTGTTGCTACCATGATACACCAGAGATTTCCTTTTCTCTTTTCCAGTGCTGCATCTAAGTTGTTATTGAGTGACTGGTAGGTATCATATCAGCCTTGGCTCACTGTATCACCAATATTGGACCCTATAGAGAGATCTCAAATGCCCTGGGTGCAGCAGAAACCATAAAACGGCAGCAAGGCAACGAAAGGCATTTTTGGGCTTTCTGCCCACAAGAATCTTATGGAAATTTATTTTTTTTACCTTCTTTTTGGAGACGAGTGCCATATTGATACATTTTCTTCTGTATGAAGGCATTTTTCACAGTGCTTATATTCATGCATTAAATCATCTTTAGCCATTTGGAGGAGCAGTTTGATCAATTACAAAGGTAATCCCTCACTGTTGGGAGCTGAGAAGGCTCAGTAACACTTGGTCTGCAGGGCTTGCACAGGCTTATCACTTATTCTGGGCCAGAATTTTATAGACAGCCAATTTCACAGTTCCTAATTTAACCGCATCAGCATGTCTTAAACCTGTCTTAATCTGTAGCTGTTCTGAAATCCTTTGCTGTTGATTAATATCTCAGTCTGCTGCCCATGAGCAATATTAGCACCTTTCTATGTGACATTCACATTCAGTTCTAATCAGATTATAAAAGTAAAATATCATATAAGATATGTGAGAACAGATCTTTCCAGATTATTCAGAAACTGTCTGCCAAGTACTTTGAGGTTGTTCTGGTAAACACATAAAAATCATGCATCCAAAATCTTTTGATAAATCACCACTTTAAAAAAAGGAGGGAAACATTTCCTATGCTCTTCTTGATGCTGAAATGCAGGAATTCAGTGGCAAGTCCATACTCCAGTGTGGTACCTGTTACATGAAGACTCAGGTACTAGGTCAGGGGAAGTTCCCATTTACCAAGGAGCATGGATATAGGCTTTTGTAAAGATCTGTCTACAAGAGAAGGTAAAGTTTGGCTGGATAAATCTGTGCTATGTCTGGGTCAAGGTGTTCCAGTGTTTTCTGACTGAATGACACTGTGAGTAAGTACAGATGTGGGCACAGAGTGATGCAGAGAGACTTGCAATACAGAACAATCAGATGTCACATTCTCCACCCAGTTTTGTGAGGCAAGCCTATGTACATAAGCAGGCCTGTGTGTAACCATGGTATTAACATATATAGAACAGATGATATGATTTTGGCTGTATGATCTAACTCCTTGCCAAGTTTCCAGTAGCTTAACCATGATCTAATTTGAAATAATTAAATCAGTTATGTTTTTTTTAGATCATCATTCTCATCTATAGGGCTAGGAATATCATCACTACAATCAAAGCTAGAATAGTTTTTATAATAACTTGTAATTTTAAGTGATGAAATTTACAAAACTCTCTGTTTTTACAAAATTTACAAAACAAACATCACCAAAACAGATTGCTAACTTGTGATCCTGGACACTATCCCAATAGTTGTGCCATGAGGTGGTGTAGAAACCATGGGTTTAAGCTTGTACAGTTTTTGTAAATCTGGTCTGTAAAGTTTAAATTCTACACTAGACCTGCATCTAGAATTCAGTTTCTTAAGTCCATGTTACATCTTCTACCAGATTGCTGTCTGATGAAGCTCCTAGATGTAGAAATCTAGATCTGATTTGCTATTTGATCTTAAACAAACATGCAAATTGAACACAGGCAATATGAGGGAAAAGCATGGGGTTGAATACAAGTGCAGGGACATTTGTTTTATATTTGGTTTAGTTTGTTAGAAAACATTACAGTCTTGACTTCTGGTGCATTAAAAATATAATTGCATGTGATGGAAATTTGCAATTCAGAGTTTATTTTGCCTTTCTTGCACAAATTTTTCTGACTTTTTAGCATAATTAATGAGTAAAATACAAGAATTGTACCACCCACTTTTCCAAAACCAATTGCTTCAAATATCTTTAAGTCTAAACAGCAAAAACGTAAATCTTTCTCATAAATGGACATGTGCCGACATACACGCTTGGGATTTTAATTTGAAACTAAAGGAACTCTCTAGCTTCAGCCAGTGAGAGCCCAGGTTTTGTTCATCATAGTTTTGTTGTATTCCTAAAATTGTATTTGTATTCAGTTTCATTTGAATATGGTCTTGATTTGTCCAAACAGCAGATGGCTGTGATAAAACGTCTGTTTTTAACTTGGCACTTTCCATTCCACATTCCTTTACTATTCATAGCACACCAGTCATAGTAGTCTCCAGTACACATAAAAGGAGGCAGTTCGACTTGCAGATGCAGTTACCCTCAAATATATGAGTATTTACAAACCCATAGCATAATTTCTTTTTAATATTGAGAAGACCACATAGATAGAGAAGGTGGATATTTTTTCACCTCCGCCACTCTCATGAAATGTGAGACACTGGAACAGAAACTAAAGCTGAGTCTGCAGCAAGGAACCCCTGTATTTAAAATTAGATTCATGTAGGGCCTGTGTTCCTATGGGGAAAGGGGGATTATCATTGGCAGAAAAATTTGCTCTTGAAGACAGAGTTGTGGGATTGCCTTAATTGTAAAGCAGCATGGACAATTAAATACCCATCAGATTAAATTACAAGATTACCTAAAATGTGCAGGAAAAAAGGCATTTGTGCAAGAGCAATGTCTTTTTATTACTGAGGTTTCACAAAGAAGAACTTGGTACTTTTGTAAACAAAAATCTTTTCTTCAGTTGTTATGTTAAACAAAACCAATTTTCAGAAATGTCTTTAAAAGTTTTCATTCAAAGTAATTTGACAGAAAGTATAATTTCTATTTATTGTGTTTTCAAGCAAATAAAGTCAAGTAAATAAATTTTTTTTTGTTATAGATTGAAACATGCAACACACTTCTAAAAAGTAATCTCTTGAGAGTTTTTTGATATAGAAGCTTGAACTGTGGAAATAGGGATTTTCTCTTGATGGTATCTTTCAGTTCATGTGCTTTTCCAGAGAGAAGAATTTAATCTCAAAAATTAGAAAACAGATTTTAAAAATTTCTATAAGATTCACAACTTGTCCATTCCTTCTTTAATGTTTATGACTATGTATAACAAATGCTTACTGCTTAGAAATACAATTCCTGCTACTTAACTCAAAACTGTGCTCCATTTTCAATATGTTATCAAATAGATTTTTTTCTTTTCTTCTGCTGAGACTAGCCTGAATTTGCTACTGTTTGAACAGCCTGTGTTTTCAACCTATGTGTAGCTGGAGGCAAGCAGTACAACAGTTTACATCAAACAGTAAACTCAGCATACAAAAAATATATACAAATAATTTCCTTTAGTAAATACGGCTACTTGCTTACTACACCCTACAGCATTGCATGGCTTATATAATTTTGTTACATTAAGAATGATTTTATCTCACCGATAACTATAGACATGGTTCTAATTCTTTTCCACTGAGTTCTTCATTTCAACAACCAAAATGCCATCATGGCAGAAAAGTGCAGACAAGTCTTTGTTCTCCACTCCGTTGGGTAATTTGTATTGTCTGGTGAAGCTTCTGGATATGAAACCATGCTCATCCATCCTGGGTCCATGCTGAGCTTTAATCAGGAGCCAGCCTTCGAAAGTCTGGATAATGATATCTTCGGGGCGGAACTGCACAACATCCAGCAAGACCCGGAATTGTGTGTTTTCCTCCTCCTGGCCGCTCTTCCCAGCCCCAGCCGTGCTTTCTGGGGCGCACCTTTGGTCGCTCGGCGCAGCGGTGGCAGGGCCCGGCAAAGCATATAAAAGGTGGTTCAGTTTGTGTGCCTCCAGCTCCTGGCCAACAAACTGCTCCTGGTAGCGTACAGGAGTTTCCACCCAATGTCTTATGACAGCTTCTGCCATTGCTGAGGCAGAAGGATCAGCTGCTGCTCCTGCTGTGCTGGGAAACTGCAGAGTCACACTGAGCTTTTCCCAGCCTTGTGTCTTACCCACAGACCAGTCTATCAGTTGATGTCGCCTTTCACTTTTAGAACAGGCAGAGCTTAACGTTTAATACAGTGTCCTGTGCTGCAGTGCTGTGAGACTTGTTTCGTCTTTTATCCACTAACAATAGAGCACTATTTATAGCTGCAGTCTTGAGTGGCTCCAACACATGCATGGCTTTCATGCAGGAATAGTAAAAGAAACATTTTAATGCACGTCTTATTGCAATATTGTGCTGTGTATAATTATGAATAATGATTACACAAATAATGTGATTTTTTTTATTTAAATGGAAATTCAGTACTTTGGTTTTTCCAAGGGATATGTGGTAATAAGTACAAAATCTGTGTTTCTAATTGAATTGTATGTTCTAATTGAAATGTGTAGCTAGTGAGGGAAGAGGTTTAATTACCTTGGCAGCAGGAATGGAGCAGATTTCAGGTTAGCTAAACTGTGAAGTTAGCAAGTGCATTGAACATTTTTGCAGAAGCTGTGCATAGGTGAAATTTGGGCATGGTCACCCCAGGACACCATGTTTTTGGTGGGAGGAGGGAACCATCTCTGCTCAAAAAAGGGGAGTCTGTAGGGCTGAATCTGCAATCTTAATGACCTACAAACACAGCAGAGACATCTCCAACATGTCAGGGAGTCAGCCACAAGAGTGCAGACAGAACTACAATGAAAGCTCATGTTTCAGAGCTTCCAGAAGAGCCTAGAGTTATTTTCCCCCAGGGGCATAATTCTAAATCCTTAATGCTACCACATTGTCCCAGTAACTCCCATCCTCTGTTGCTTAACAGCTTGAACCTGTGATCTCATCTACTGCATGTGTCTGCAAAGCAGGACTGACGACTTCCAGGGCTCTCTGAGGTGTAATTGTGGAAGCACAAAATGTTTGGGAATGGAAGTGACCTCTGGACATCATCTATACCAACCCCCCTGCTAAATCAGATTCACCTAGAACAGGTTGCACAGGATCACATCCAGGTGGGTTTGAAGTGTCTCCAGAGAAGGAGCTTCTGCAGCCTCTGCCTTATAATCTTCTTGCCGGTCTATGATTGTAGGGCAGATAATGCTTACAAAGGTCAATAGTTTGTTTAACAAGAGCTAAGAGAAAAGTGCAATAAAGAAGGAAAGTAATTTCTAAATTTTAGCATGTGTGCTAGAATATCACTCTAGCTGAGCTTGGTAATGTGAAGCAGAATGTGTTACGGCAATTGATGGGGAAGATTTTTTTGTTTGATTTGTTAGTGCTGTAAAAGGTGCCCTATAGTTAGAAATAATCAAATAAGACACTTTTATTCCTTCTTGTTTGGCTGTTGTTATTCAGAGTTCTCTCTCTCCCTTGTCCTTACATGTTCCATTACCATAGTTATTATGGGATCTTTGGTTGCTAATGGAGTAATGAAGAAAGAGGCATGTAAACGTCAATATTTATCACATATTGACTTCTTTATTGCATTAATAGCAGGGCAGAATTACCAGATGTATGTGTAATTAAAGCTTTAAGGCTGCCATTTTATTTTAAACTTATAAAGGTTGTATTGGAATGTAAGGAAATTTTCAAAAGTTCAAGATAACTTACATTAAAGGCCAACTGTTTAATTGAGTGTTCTGAGAAAGAAGTATTGTGAATAAGGAGAGTGAGGCTACTTTATTTAACTGTTGGCTCTTCTCCTGTTAAAGTGTCCTCCAGAAATAATTTTAAAATGCAATTCTATATGTATGATTGACTAAAATAGTGATAAAGCCAACCTAGATCATTGCTTGTTATCTGCTCAGGTGTTTTCTCTTTTGCTAGCAAATGATTCACTTGATGAAGAAACTTTAACCCTGACGTGAAGCAGTATGCCGGGCTGGTTGTGATATTATGCTTATACAGATTCCTGAAAGCTATTGCTGTCCCTAATTAATTCTGTGATGGTAGCCTGACTATTTTACTTAAGTTTTGCATTTCATTAATAAATGTACTGTACAGGAATATTACTTTTAAATTTTGTTTTATTTATTCCCATTATCTCTGGAAAAAGATACACTTGCCCATAGTTACACTTCAAATAGAAACCGAAGTCTCACTGCAAGTCACTGTGGGACAGCTGTATCTATTCCCAGAAACAGCTGTGTTAGTCTTTCAAATGTCTGTGCTAAGCATACTTGAAGCTGTCTGGTCTAATTAGCACGAAAGATTCTTTGAATACCCTTTAAATTCATGTTGCATGCAAAATGCTGCAGAAGGTTATAGGATCCCTTTCTACTCTGTAGGACAAGAAATCTGAAAGATTTTGATAATGAAGCTGTAGAGCCTGTTTCTGCTTTCCTATCCTGTCCTCTCCTCTGTTCAGTCCCTTCTCTCAGTTTGTCACCTGTGGTCTCATGAATTAGCACAATGCTTCTTATCTCTTTGTTAGTGACGTGGGGAACATGCCAAGTGGAACACACAAACACCCTTGATTTTCGGCTTTCAAATCTAAACATGGGCGCAGTGCTGCAACACGCAGGCACTTCTGACGCTTATGATGCCGTGTTCTTCAAATACCTAGAGCAGGATTCGATCCAGCAATACATTTTAATAACAGTTGATTACCGTGGTGTTTTTAAGCCTTCAGAGCAGATCTGACAGGAGCAGGATCGATGTCCTAAATCACCAACTCGGTGCCTCAGGTTTTGTTTCCCGATTTTACCGTGCCTCGAAGGCCTCTCTCGGTGCTGCCCAGCGGGGAGGCTGCCCAGGGAAAGCACTGCAGAGATGCTCTTCCGAAGCAGCAGCCGGGCAGCTTGGCTTCCCACGACGATGTCCCCGGTGTCCGCCTCCCCCGCCGTTTTTCCAGCACGGCGCCGGGATGCGCGGGCACGGCCGGCCGGGAGCGCGCGGTGCCGGCTCCGCGGGGCACAGCGGCATCTCCTGGCGAGGCGGGGAACTGCTCCCGGCCGGCCGCGCGCTCTGCGTCAGGGAACGCCGGAGTAGGGCACTGCTCTCCTTCACACCGGTATGAGCTGCTTTCTCACTATTTTGGAAGGCGGTGGCGGAAAAAATATTTCATTCACGTCCTAGGCTGCATCCAAAGCAGCGTGGCCTGCAGGTCGAGGGAGGGGATTCTGCCCTTCTGCCTGCAGCGCTGCATCCGGCTCTGAGGTCCTTGGTGTGAGCGCGGCATAGAGCTGATGGAGTGGGTCCAGACGAGCATCAGCAGGATGATCACAGCGCTGGAGAACCTCTCCTGCAGAGAGAGGGTGGGGAGTTGGGGTTTTTCATCCTGGAGAAGAGAAGCCTCCAGGGACACCTTATTGTGGCCTTCCAGTATGTAAAGAGGGCTTACAAGAGAGCTGGTGAAGGATTTTTGACAAGGACATGTAGTGGTAGGACAAGAGGGGATGGCTTTAAACTGAGAGTAGGTTTAGATTAGATATTCAAAAGGAATTCATTACTGTGTAGGTTGTGAAATACTGGAACACGTTGTCTGCAGAAGTTGTGGATGCCTCATTGCTGGAAGTGTTCAAGGCAGATTGAATGGGGCTTTGAGCCATCTGATCTAGTGGATGGCATCCCTGGCCATGGCAGGAAGCTTAGAACTCGATGATTTTTAATGTTTCTTTCAACCCAAACCTTTCTATGATTGTGCGATGCTATTAAATATATGAAGTAGGCATCCTGGTAAAGCTGTATTTTAGACTGCAAAAATCTAAGGTGCAAAAAATCATGAAAGGAACACATTTTTGATGCATTTCTTAAATAAATACAGCTCCTTCTTGCTTGACACAACTTTGAAATAGTAGCTTACCCTGTCACAATCCTCTGTGTGCTTGATTCCCCAAAGATAAATTTGTATTTCAACTACCATTGAAATTCAGTAACTGCTGAAAGGGGAAAATGTGAAAAGGCTGGCAGGCTGAATTGAACAAGAACTCTTGTAGAAGAAGCTAACAGGCTAAATTCAAATCAGGGCCATGTAATTATCCAAATGAATCTAGATGAAGCACTGAAGTTACTTTTACAAAAGCACACAGGGATGCCACTCATCTACTTCACATGTCATTCAAAAGAGATATTGTCACTTAAGACTTTGCAGTACGTATTAAATGAAAGAAAAAGTAGTTCCTTTCATTTTAGCAATGTTCTGTTATGCCCAATCAGGAAATACAGGCTTTGTGGCTGGTACCAAAGAGCTAGATAGTAAGATAAGATATATGTGACAATGTAAATGGGGTGATACACATGAAAACTCCTTGGTAAAGAGTCTTTTTCCACATGACATTTAATATATTTGTTTAGAGTGAGAAAATTACCATCTCACTTCCATCACTTTGAATCCATTGCTCCTATAAGCTGTCTTTTTAGCTGGATTGTTAGATCTGGATCTGTGTAAGCGCTGAAGAAATAAGCAATGTAACCACGAGTCCTGCAAGTGCCTAATCAGCAAATACTAAGTGTTCTGTTTTCAATAAATATTGAGGGATTTTTTTTTTAAGTAATGTCTCATTCCAATCACATGGTGTTTATATTGGTCAGTGAATCACAACATAACTCTTTCTGCAGCAAGACTTCACGCTGTGTTATAAAAATTCTTGCAAGTAGTAAAGACTGTGTTGTTACATAGCCAGCTTTACTGAAGGGAGACTTCTGTTTGTGGGTCATGTCCTTCAGAACCTGGAAAAGGCTGGATCTGATCAACCTCTTGGAAAATCTCTCCAGGGCACTGATGCTCTCTTGTAACTTATGGGTCTTTTAAGAAGTGGAAAACTAATCCCAGCTTTTGCATTAAAAATCAAGTGTTTGCTCGTTTGTTAGGAAGTATAGTAAGAAATATAAGTAATCATGGAATGAACTATCATTTTGACACATTGCAACCACTATTACAAGACTTTTTCTTGACATGTTGAGATGATAGAAGAGCAAATGAAGGACGAAGCTGAAGCAGATGAAAGTTGGCAGGACCACAGCAGCTGCTGTTGGAACAATTGCTTTACAGAACAGTTAAGGCATGAATTACAACATGTAGAACAATTATTTTTAAATTTCACATTACTGTAAAAGTTACAGTGAGGTCTTGCAACTCTTTACACAAATCTGCTTTGTTTTTCACATGGCTTGTTTTTCAATATTTATATGTATGCTAGAGGCAAATGCATCTGTGCCTCACAAATTCTTGAGGAATTCCTATAGAAAGCAAACTCTTTAGAGTGATAATAATCTGTTCAATTTTTGCTGACAAAACAGTGGAGAGGAAATGAACAATTAAAAGAGAATAATGTGCCTTAGGGGGTCAAAAAGTTCTGTTTTACTATTGAAAGTCAGGATCCAAAGCACTCTTGCTGTAGAAACAGTCTTAGTTTTCACCAGTTAAAAATCAACTAGTGTTCCAAGAAGAAAGCCAATTTTCAGGTTTCCTACTCCTCTGCCTCACTGAAGGTTTTACTTGAGATTTGGTAGGAATATCTCAAGGCAATGAAGTACAATAAGACTCATGTATTTTGGGCCTGTTAAAATTTCATAGCTAGTGCTGGCATGTACATTTAAGATGTGAAACCCCTATCCATGGGGACACTTTCAGCTGTGCATGTTTTCGTGTGGACTACTTTAGTAAAAATAATACAAGTACTGAAAATCTCACCCATGAAGTTCTGGAAGTAGCAAAATTTATGCTTTTTAAAATTATGTACTGTGTAGGTCCTACATTACACATAAATATGCTAGTATGTTAGCACAAAACACCGAATATCTCCTTTTGGTTTTTGATGTTTGTTTCTTTCTTTTTCCTAAGAAGAAAGTGGAGATATGTGGTGTATTGATCCTCGGGATATATTTGTCAAAGTAAGTTCTTACCAGAAAATAATTGAACTCACTAAATGAATTTAGAGATTTAAGAAGATCTGTGTTCAAAGAATCCCTGAAAACTCAGCCAAGAACTTGTTGGGGCTGAGTGTCAACGTGATCCTGGGGTAGAAGTACTTCATCCAGAAAGTCTTTAAAAAGAAACTGCTAGGATTTGTGAAGGATTTACAGGAAGAGTTTGCTGTGGTTAGTGAACAATTCCTCTCCGGAATGACATAAACATGCTGTTTGATTTCGATATACTAGGAATTAACTACTGCGTCAAGCATCTTTAGCTGACAAGGAGCAGCTGGAGACTGACTGGGTAAGTAGTGAGAGTGGAAGGCTTACTCCAAAATCTCAAATGTAGAGTGACTGATGGGATATTGATGGTGTCTCAATGCCATTGTTTTCATATGGTAACTTAGTGGATAATATTAAATTCTTAGAAGGAAAGCAAATAATTCATTGGCAAAAATACTGTCTCACCTTGCCCCTCCACATGGTGAAAGCCAATCAAAATCTGGCTCCTATGTCAGAACTGTTATTTCCTTTAGTGTTGGAATTAAAACAAAAGTCTCATATTGTCCTAATTTCCTGACTTTGGCAATGCCAGAAAGGCTGCAGAGGTGGTAAAATCTGCTGCTAGAAATCCTTTTCTGTTGATAGCTTTCAGTTAAGTATGAGGAACAAATTCTGATCTATAAACTACATAATCCTTTATCTTTACTGGACTTGCCCTTAAGTGTGTATCAGTGCAGAATTTATGTTCTTAATATTAACACTATCATCTATACTACTTCTGAAATTATATTTTCTTTCCTAGTATGCGTTCATCTCAGAAAACAGAACTTGACTAGATTCTTTTTTAAGATTGCCAATTAATTTACTGTGAAACTTAATTTATGGGATGTGGATAAGTAGGTTATTCATATACATGAGTCATGAATGCTTTAAAAAAGTATTAGGTCCGAAATTTAGAACTCTTTTTCTCCTCTCTCTTATTCAACCTTCTGTTTATGCATGTTAGAATTTGAAAAATCTAAAAATGTTTTCTGGCCTGCTTTTATACTTGCCTATTTGCAAAGACCTCATGCCACATATGTTGGAAAAAATGGACATTTGTTTTTCTTCATAAAAAAGCCCTTATTTCATATAAAATACTGGCAGAATCTAACTCAGTCTTTGCCATACCCTTTAAAGAAAGATCTCTATACATGTCCACATTTATTTAACATGACCAGGAACCTGATTAGTAGGTAAGGTAGCCCTTTCTTTTCATTACTACAATACTATCCTCCCAACACATATTTGTCAGTACATCTATTTTTATAACACAGATCATAACTGCTGTGAAAATCTGTTGCTTTTATGTTGTTCTACTGAAGGTCAGAAGTTCCTTAATTAAACTTTATTTTGCTAAGGTTTATGTTTACATAGGATGCTCTGCAAGCAATAAAGTGTTTGTAGTGAGGTCATGAGAGAAAAATAATATTTATAAAAGCAGATTTAACTCACATGTTATAGAAACAATTTTATTTTCACAGTAGAAGCTCTTTCTTCCATATTAATCTTTGCTGTACCAAGGAGGTAAATTAAGTCTGTGCAGGCTAATGGTGTAGTTCTGTAGTAAAAGATTAGTAATTAGTAATTAGTACAACCGAGCTTGAATGTGATTACTTACTCTTAGAGAGAAGTTTCAAAAAATAATTTGTGTATTTACTAGGCATAAGTATTTACTTAGCTATTCCATAGAGGTTGTAGCTTTCTTTGGGGCCAGTTAAAACTACTTATAGATAGAAGACTGTGGACTTCATTGTTGATAAAGCCTTCGTTGTGGGGGCTTCTTTGTGCAGGGATGAACAAAGCCACAGGAAAATAATTCCTAAGAGTTAATAATAAGCAAAACCACAGAGGGGGCCTTGACATGCAGTCAAAGGACTTAGCATTGTTGGCATTTTGTTATCAATTCAAAACATACTCAGTTTTACAAAGAGAATGACTGATGAATGGATAAAGAAGATTGAAGTAGAATGAAAGACAAAATGTTCTAAACACAAGGAAATTTGGTTATTAGCATACAAGCAAGC